AAGGTTATTTTTTCTCTTTAATATTAAAAATCGTAATGTATTTGTTCTTTCTGCAAAGTTTTGCATACATACTCGGATGCGGCCATATCGAAATATAGACTTGAAGAGGAGGAAAATGTCCAAAATAGGGGAATTCCGGAATATTAGACCGGTTTTGAACGTTATATAAATGAAAGGGCACGTGAGTTGAGAAAAATTTATTCCTATTTCACACATAGGGAAACCTTAACAGTTAATTGATACAATTGATAGAATGTAATCGTGCGTTTAATTTTTGCCGATTTTACAGGGCCGTAAATCGGTCTTAACATACCCAGCTCTTTAGAAAGTTACTGGCAACAATTTATTTCACGCATTTTACATTTCAATAAATATCACAAGACAATGAAAAAATATAAATTTAGGTAAACTATTTCAATTAATCATTACAAATAAATGGTAAAAAAGACTACGATTGCGATTGTGAAAACTTTTCCGTATTTTAAATTTTGATACGGTTGCGGTTTTACTTTTAGTAAACAATTGCGACTTCCAACTTCACAAGATGGACACAGCAAGTTGTAAATATACATTGAGACATTATTTACTAGATGATATAATGTTTTTTTGTACATCGACGGATATTTAATGGAACTTATTTTATAAGAAATCAATGGAAGATATTTAATTCTTTATTGTTTAGTACTTTTTTCTCGGTAAAATAATTTTAAAAGTTACGAAAATGGCACAGATTTGTTTTGAAATTGACGTAAATTTCACTAATTTGGGGGCATTTTTCATAAACTTGAGCCTTAGAAAGGTCGATTCGTTAAATTGGGCGACCCCAACGGTTCTGAGAAAAAAAGTTTCGACCTATACCCCAAAACTTACGGTAGGAAGTGTGTAGTTATAATAAGCAAGGATGGCTCTTCCAAAATGTGAAATTCATGGCCACAGGGTCAGGGGTTCTGATGAAAGGGGGGCTCTATTAATTATATAGTGAAAAAGCATTTTCTTTGAAAATATTCTTTTTTGCTCCTGATTATAAAGCAAAGAAACAAAGTGTATAGTTATGACAAGCAAGAGTGCTTCTTCTAGAATTATGAGTTTCATGGCCCCTGGGTCAGATATTCTGGTGTAAGGGTGGAACTCTTTTGATAATATAGTGATAATGCATTAATTTTAGTAAATAATCCTGTCTGCTCCTTAGTGTTGAGCAGATAAACAAAGTGCATAGTTATGATGAACAAGGGAGATTCTTACAAAAATATTAAAACTGGTGATCCCAGGGTCAAGGGCTCTCTTGTTTCTTTTTTTTTTTTGGGGGGGGGGTTCTATTGATAATACAGTGAAAATGTGTTAATTCTTTGAAAATCTTCAGCTAAGTGCATAGTTACCATGATGAGGGTACCTCTTCCAAATTTGTGAATTTCCTGACCCTGGGCCATGGGTTCTAGTGTTAGGGTAGGGCTGTGATGAATCTATAGTGAAAATGTATTATTTCTTTGAAAATTTTCTCTGCTGCTGGGCATATCAGAGGCAGATAAAGTAAAAAGTTTTAATAAGCAACGGTATTTTTACCAGATTTTTGAACATCTGGAACATTTAGTCAAGTGTTCAGGTCCTGACACAAAAGAGCACACTAAGAAGTATAACTCTTCCATAGTGGAAATAGAACGTGTTAATTACTGTAAATATTGTATTTGAAAGGTTAACAGAATAAGAGAATTATGCAAGAATTTTTATTGTATATTACAAAACATACTTTCAAAGTTTAAATGATCAGGTAGACTTGTAAATAATAGATAAATAAAAATGAGACAATTTTTTTTATCTTATTAAATGTTCTTCAAAGATCAAGAAAAGACAATGTAAGAGGTTACAATATGGGGTTAAAATTAGTACAGAAGCACTAATAGTTTAATAGTCTGCTTGGTGATTGTGATATATGGGGGACAGATTAGAAATTAATTCGTGAGTTGTTACTGAATACTAGACTAATTATTTTGTTGATCCTGATCATCCTATTTCTCTTGCTTTTGGGCAACAAAGCTTTATCTGTTAATTTGTTTTTAATTATTCTCTATGGATACTGTAAATTGTTTTGTGATTTACCCAGTTTGTCACTCAGTTTTACTGTTGAATTTATGCAATCATGTGACAGTGTGATCCAACGTTCTGGATCACCACATCTGATGTTCGGGATCACCACACTGTGGTTTTCTGAATCCATATCACCCCTCTCTGAAACTGATGTTGTAGTACACAGATAAATGGCGTTTTTATTCTTGCGCTTCAAAATGTTCCTTGACAAAATGGTTTCTTTAATGGATAAAAGTTATGTAATTGACCCAAAAAGTTTCCTTTTATTATATTTTGCTAGTTATAAAGGGGTTTATAATAAATTTATCATTATAACAGTAACTTGATCCGAAGAGCCATATCACGTCTTGTTGACAGGCGCAGATCATCAGATCAAACTCGACGATTCACTCTGTCAACTTCACATGATATGGCTCTTTGGATCAAGTTACTGTTATAATAATTTGTATGTATTATACTCTTGTTTTACCTAGCACCTACCGACTTCAGATCCATATATGGCAATGTATTTGATAATATCAATAATATTAATTACAGTCAAAATATTTTATCATGATACATTATTATGTGAATAGCCAAATGATGGAAAAACCTAAAATACATTTAGTGTTCCCTTTTCATTATGAAAATTAGAAGTATTTACCAACATAAGATCTGTGTTGTGTTTTCAGCATAAGACCAGCATTTTTTTATTTTTAGGTTTACAAAAGCGCCGCTCAAGTTTTTGAATTTTCAGAAAAAAAATAAAATTGAGAAGAGTGGAATTTTTTCTTTCCAAAGTCGAATTTGAGTCAAGATCGAGATTTTGAATTTACGAACTCGTACTTCCGGTTTACGATAACCATGGAAACAGGGCAGGTAAATAATGAAGGTAGATCTGTATAGGCCATAGCAGCATCATAGCCATGGTTTTGTGAGAAATTTATCAACGGGAGTGCCATTCAAAACATTTTCACCTGTTAAGAGGACAAATAAAATGCTGACGACTTTGTTGCACAATGGCATGTTAGTGAGATAATTTTGTATCTGTATTCAAAAGTATCTGCATGTAAATTAATTTCCTCTCACTGGTTAAAAACTGCCTATGGTAGCTATAGCCAGAGACATTGTTTAGGTCTCTGCTATATAGCTTACAGTCGAACCAACATTCTTTGGAAAAGGATTGTTTATGCATCAGATGTAATGAATAACACTATGGAAAAAATGAAGTGAATTTTTGGGGAAATAAACAATAGCCTTAAAAAAATGAAATATTTCAACTATTAAAGAAACAGGCTAATTCAGAGAATTTGTGTCCCCCACTTAGGGAAAACAGAAGAGCATGCACAGTTCCGGGGGGGGGGGGGGGGATTTGTAGAATTATAAAATGTATAGATATATATTGAAGAAAATTCTTGAATAATTCAAGGAAAAATATACAAACAAGCTAATTCAGAGAATTTGAAACACCCCCCCCCTTGATTTGTAGAATTATTAAATGTATACATGTATATTGAAGCAAATAAAAATGCCAATATGGATATAAAGATTTGATTGCTTATTCTTTAATTAATATGTGCATAGAAGATTCTTTTTATATAGAATATTTATCAAACTGTAATTATGATTTTATGATTTTGTACAAGCCAGACGTCATAACTTTTTCATTTCACATGCTGAATACTATCATTTAGTAAATCCCAAAAAAAAAAAAATGAAAAAAAAAAAGAATTGTCCGGGATTTGAACCCGGGACCTCTCGCATGCTAAGCAAGAGTCGTACCACCTAGACCACAGAGGCACTTGATTATACAGCAAATTAAATGCAAACATTAGGTCACATATAATGTTTATATTCACGTTCGATATTGTCAAAATTTTACACAATACATGATGTCTAATTAAGCCTTTACTAAACAGTTCTAATAGATGTAATTAGCATATAAAGTCGGCCGACAACCTGTATTATATGTAATAACTGTCCACATGCCCCTGTGCTAAAAATAGTGCCAAGCGACTTTTAATACAATAAATAAAAAAAAACAAAACGGGGCGGGGCACTTTGAAAGAGAGGCCATAGGGAGTTATGGAATAAAATTTCATTGCAAAAGGTCAAAAGCTTCTTGAAATATCGCCTTTAAACGAAAGTGTAACACACAGACAGAATGTATGAATTTACGACCTTGAACTTTGACCTTTTGACCTCAAAATCAATAAGGGTCTTCCTTAGGCCACAGGGAGTGGTTTTGTAAAATTTCATTGCAAAAGCTCAAAGGATTCTCGAGATACCTTGCGGAAACGAAAGTGTAAAAACAGACAATTTATGAATTTATGACCTTGACCTTTGACCTTTTGACCTCAAAATCAATAGGGTTCTTCTTTAGGCCATAGGGAGTTGCTATGCAAAATTTCATTGCGAAAGCTCAAAGGGTTCTCGAGATGTGCTGAGTTTTTGTCTACAAACATCTGATGGCACCAAAATCTTAAGAATATCTAGAAAAATTATTAGTTGGTAAGGTACGTTGCATATGTCCTTAAGTTGCTTCACCAACTCTAGTCATTTCTCATTTAGAGAGTTTTAGAATTCATTATATATGATGCACTTGACCAGAGTTGCAGTTTGAAATACATGTGTAAATGCCAAAGATATGTGTTTAATTCTTCATTCTGCAGAAATATGCACCTGAACATCACATTAAGTGAATGGTTATGATGAGCGAGGGTGCCTCTTCTAAAATAGTGAATTTCATGTCTCCTTGGTCAGAAGTTCTGGTGTTAGGACAGGGATCTATAGATCAGATGGTGAAAATGCGTAAATTCTTTGAATATCTTGTTCTCTTCTCCTTATGATAAGCAAGGCCGCTTCTTCAAAAGTTGTTTTCTGTTGATCCCTGTTCATCCTATTCCTCTATGGTGTTTTCAATATAATTCTTTTTATAGTCCGCAGGAATTGGTGGTGCTGCTCATCTTGTTAATTTCAAAGGAACCGACACTATAGCTGCTCTTTGTGTTGCAAGGAAATATTATGCTTGCAAAATAGCAGGTTTTTCTGTTCCTGCTGCAGAACACAGGTAAAGGTTGAAAAGTTATACAATTTGATTTACCTTACTTAAAGTGAGTTTTTTTTTTTTTTATCAAAATTTAACTAATTCTCAAATTATTATAAAACATTCATTATTGTAAAAAAAATTTATTTTCTATGAGGAAATTGTATGGTAGACTCAATGGGTGTAAAACATTTAATCAGATACAAAATTCATTGAATTGCAGCACTATTACTACTTGGGGCAAAGAAGGTGAAAAGGAAGCATTTTATAATATGTTGAAGAATTTTCCTTCTGGGATAGTTTCCATTGTAAGTGACAGCTACGACATATGGAATGCCTGTGAAAATGTTTGGGGACAACAGTTGAAAGATTTAGTAGAAAAAAGGGAAGGAACTTTGGTCATAAGGCCAGATTCTGGTGAACCATCAGAGGTGGTTGTCAAGGTAATGCATCTTGTAACTTTCTTACTTTGACAATTATGCAAGCTTTGCTGCAGTTCAGAATTTTTTATGTCTCTGATATCAAAGATTGGGGCATATTGTTTTTAGCTCACCTGAGCCAAAGACTGATCAAAATTTGTCTGTTGTCTGTCATCGTTGTCGTAAACCTTTCACATTTTCATCTTCTCCAGAACCACTGGGCCAATTTCAACCAAACTTGTCACAAAGTATTCTTAGGTGAAGGGCATTCAAGATTGTTCAAATGAAGGGCCACTCCCTCTTTCTAGGGGAGATAATTAGAAATAATGACAATTTGTTGGTATCTTTTAAAAACCAATCTTCTTCTCAAGAACCATGGGACCAAAAAAGTCGAAACTTAATTGAAACCTTCTTTACATAGTATAGATTCAAGTTTGTTCAGTCTTGACCCCCGAAGAAAAAAGTGGGGCCACAATGGGGGATCAAAGTTTTACATAGGAATATGTAGGAAAAATCTTTTTGAAGGGGATTCAAGTTTGTTCAAAGAAGGGCCACTCCCTCTTTCTAGGGGAGATAATTAAGAAATAATGACAATTTGGTGGTATCTTCTCAAGAACCATGGGGCCAAAAAAGTTGAAACTTAATTGAAACCTTCTTTACATAGTATAGATTCAAGTTTGTTCAAATCATGACCCCCAAGGATAAGGTGGGGCCACAATTGGGGATCAAAGTTTTACATAGGAATATGTAGGAAAAATCTTTGAAAATCTTCTCAAGAACAGCAAAGCCATGTTTAATCATATTTATAGGGAACCATCCTCAGGTAGAGTAGATTCAAGTTTGTTCAAATCATGACCCCTAGGGGTAGAGTGGAACTACAATGAGGAATCAGTTTTACATAGGAATATATAGGAATAAATCTTAAAAAATTTTCTTCTTAAGGATATCCGATCCTCAGCCAGGAAGGATAACTCTTAAAGAATGAATCGTTTAAACGTCCAAATCTGGCCCCCCCCGATAATTTACAAAAAATTAAATTAAAGATTTTCTACATATTTTTGCCTCAATCTTTCCATCAAACATTGTAGTTTATTAATTTCAATTTCAATTTTTACTTCCATGCACTGTAATTAGGTATTTATCTGATTAATATAATGGGGTACGTTGTTTAGATCGATTTCTCATAGACTTTAGGCCACACCCCCCATTTTGCAAGCCCGTTTTTTTATATGAGCGCATGGATGTTTGAAGTTGTCGTAAACACGGTCAATGTAAAGAGTTAAACTAGTCATTTACATTCATGAAAGAAATTGAAACAGTCTTGCGCTCATTTATTATTTTCCAAAAAGGTGCAAAATCACGGATACTTGTTTCTATAGTAAAGGCACCTTGTTAACAAATTTGAACCCCCCTTTGACCTCATGAATAACAAAGCACTGAACACGTGACTCAAATCTATTCACTTTCGCGCTTTGATCACACCTGTGCGACATCGTGTACAGGTGTCTGCGAGCTATCAATGGTCAAATCGTTTTCAAATGTGTAATTAAAATTCTGGGAGAAATTTTTTTTTTTGATTAAGATGTGTTAAGATTTTTTATTTACAGCATAGTGCCATAAATGAGTTAACTTTATTAATGGCTGCCATTGAATCATATAAAATCAACTTACCTGAATTCCTTGCCAGCCTCTTAAATGAACTCTAATCACTCTAATGTTTTGTGATGTCACCTTTCTGGATCAGTACCTCTCTGCATCTTCTTGGAAGGCTTGCATAAAGTTTTTGAATGTAAAATAAAGGGATTTCATTCCAAGCCCTCAGTAACTGAGTTTTCAAGTCATTTACATTGTGGATCAGGTAAAGTCTGTTTTTGATTTTGTTTTTCATTAATAGCCATACATTCTCGATTGGGCTCAAATCGGGAGACTGGGGAGGCCAACTTATCTGTGGAATTCTGATGTTCTGATGTTTCCCATTTTCAGATTCATTGGACTGATGACATGGGAATTGTCATTTTGGAAGTACCATGTACAAAATGTTTAACAACAACCTGCCAAATATTGTCATCAAGTGTTTGCCAATGGATATATTTTTGAGAGTTCATATTTCCATTTATGAATGCTAAAATTCCTACCCCATAATAGGTGATACATCCCCATTCCATTATTTTAATAGTAGCAGACGACGTTGGTGCAAAGTGGCCCAAACATTCAGGTCTCCATTTTTCAGATGACTTCCTCCATATTTTAAACTTTCCGTCAGGTTTAATAATAACCATCATTTCATTGGTAAACATCACCTTCTTCCACTGATTATTGACATTCCAATGTAACTTCCCTCTGCACCAAGCTATGCGTTTCTTTTTGTTTATGTTCCGAATTCCTATAGACTTCCGAGAAGATCACCTTGTATAGCCCATGGAGTGAAGGGTCCTTTGTATTGTGCGACAAGAAACTTTAACCGGTGTACTGCTGTTGAATTCTGCCGTTACATCCTTTAAAGTTGTCCTACGAGAATTTTTAACAAGGCGAGAAAGTGTCCATTCTCCTCTGACATTAACATATCGGGGTCTTCCCTTCCGTGGCTTATTTTCTATGTCTCCACATTCCCTCCACCGCTTTAAAAATTTTGAAATTGTAGACGTGTTAATCTTTAAACATTTTGAAATTTCTGATGCCCTGTGTCCACTTTCTATTAATTTTACAATCACTTTTTTAGTTTCGTCCGACATTTCATTGCTGTGTTTTGCCATTTCGTAAACAAGGAAGTAGAGTAATAACAAAATCAAATTCACTAATGAAAAAACTCAGTAAGAGTTACTTCCCTTTGATCATGAAAAAATTGATACGATATCGTTTATCTTTCTACAATGTAACTTCGAAGTTTTAAAGCGGTGCTTGTAATTGCGCGCCATTTAAAAAGTTGACTTATTTATGGCACTATGCTGTACTTGTTATTAAACGCTATTTCAGTTGATTTTGTATGTTTTTTTTGGTTGTTATCTATCACTTTATATTGGAGGCCTGTAGCTTGCACTTACTGCTTGTGTCTCATGAATACAGAATTTTAAAATTTAAATTACTGTGGGTATATATTATACATTTGCCTTTGTTCCTAAATATACATCAGTGCTACATTCATTGACTCTTGAAAGATAGAAAAGTTTTTTTCCAGTTAAAACTGTCATTAATTTTATAGACAGTTATTTGAAAAACACTAATTCATATCTTTAGAAAATAAACCATTTGTTACAAGTACACAAATGCATATTTTCCATTGAGAGATCTTAAGGGAAAGAAATTGAAATACGGAGCGCTAAAAAGTCACTGGATGAATACATTTGCACAAAATGCACCCCTAATTTGAATAGAGGGAAGCTTCAGGTTTCTTCTGATGATTCTGCAAATGCTAATTAAAACTTTTTACATCAGCACAAAATTTCACAAACATTTTTTTTTTTAAGGTCACCCGAGTCACTCAGGTGACCTATTGCTATCTGTTTTCGTCCGTCGTCGTGGAGGTGTGCGTTGTGCGTAAACTTTTCACATTTTCGACTTCTTCTCAAGAACCACTGGGCCAATTTCCACCAAACTTGCCACAAACTATCCTTGGGTAAAGATGATTCAAGTTTGTTCAAATGAAGGGCCACTCCTTCTTCCAAGGGGAGATAATTAAGAATTAGTGAAAAATTAATGGTATCTTTTAAAAATCTTTTTCTCAAGAATTACTGGATCAGGTAAAAGGAAACTTATATGGAAACATCATCAGGTTGTGTAGACTCAAGTTTGTTAAAATCATGACCCCCAGGGGTAGGGCGGGGCCACAATGGACGGTCAAAGTTTTACATAGAGATATATATAGGAAAAATCTTTAAAAATCTTCTTCTCAGGAACAGCTAAGCCCTGATTGGTCATATTTATATGGAAGCATCCTCAGGTAGTGTAGATTAAAGTTTGTTCAAATCATGACTCCCGGGGGTAGGGTGGGGCCACAATGGATGTTCAAAGTTTACATAAGAATATATAGGAAAAATCTTTAAAAATCTTCTTCTCAAGAACAGCAAAGTCGTGATGAGTCATATTTATATGGAAGCATCCTCCGGTAGTGTAGATTCAAATTTGTTCAAATCATGACCCCAGGGGGTAGAGCGGGGCCACAATGGACAATCAAAGTTTTACATAGAGATATATATAGGAAAAATTTTTAAAAATCTTCTTCTCAGGAACAGCTAAGCCCTGATTGGTCATATTTATATGGAAGCATCCTCAGTGTATGTAGATTCAAGTTTCTTCAAATCATGACCCCCAGGGGTAGGGTGGGGCCACAATGGATGATCAAAGTTTACATAAGAATAGATAGGAAAAATCTTTAAAAATCTTCTTCTCAAGAACAGCAAAGTCATGATGAGTCATATTTATATGGAAGCATCCTCTGGTAGTGTAGATTCAAATTTGTTCAAATCATGACCCCCGGGGGTAGGGCAGGGCCACAATGGACAATCAAAGTTTTACATAGAGATATATATAGGAAAAATTTTTAAAAATCTTCTTCTCAGGAACAGCTAAGCCCTGATTGGTCATATTTATATGGAAGCATCCTCAGTTAGTTTAGATTCAAATTTGTTCAAATCATGACCCCCTGGGGGTAGGGCAGGGCCACAATGGATGATCAAAGTTTACATAAAAATATATAGGAAAAATCTTTAAAAATCTTCTTCTCAAGAACAGCAAAGTCGTGATGAGTCATATTTCAGGTAGTGTAGATTCAAATTTGTTTAAATCATGTCCCCCGGGAGTAGGGTGGGGTCACAATGGATGATCAGAGTTTTACATAGAAATATATAGGAAAAATCTTTTTCTCAGGAAGAGCAAATTTCAAGTTTGTTCAAAGCCTGACCCCCCGGGGTAGGGTGGGGCCACAATGGAGGATCAGTCTTACATAGGAATATACAGGAAAATTTCTTCTCAAGAACTGCAAAGCCATGATTAGTCATTTTGATATGATCGAAGTTTTACTTAGAAAT